AGGTCACCTCTCGAGTCTCTTCTCGATTCCCCTCTCTAGTCTCCTCTCAAGTCCCATCTCAAGTTCCTTCTCAAGTCCCTACCCTATGTCCTGTGCCGTTGGAGGTCCAGCCGACACCTGTTTTGTCGGGGGTCCTGCCAACTCCACGTCCTGTGGCGTTGGGGGTTCCGCTGAGGGTCCTGCCAACTCCACGTCCAGTGTCGTTGGGGGTTCCGCTGAGGGTCCTGCCAACTCCATGTCCTGTTTCGTTGGGGGTTCCACCGGATTTCCTGCCAACACCTGATCCTGTCCTGTTGGGGGTCCCGCCGACACGTGCTCCGCCGGGTTTCCTGCCAACACCATATCCTGTCCTGTTGGGGGTCCCGCCGACACCTGCTCCGCCGGGTTTCCTGCCAACACCATATCCTGTCCTGTTGGGGGTCCCGCCGACACCTGCTCCGCCGGGTTTCCTGCCAACACCATATCCTGTCCTGTTGGGGGTCCCGTCGACACCTGCTCCGCCGGGTTTCCTGCCAACACCATGTCCTGTCCTGTTGGGGGTTCCGCCGACACCTGCTCCGCCGGATTTCCTGCCAACACCATGTCCTGTCATGTTGGAGGTCCCGTCGACACCAGCTCTTGCTCCGTCCGGGGTCCCACTGACACCAGCCCATGTTCCGTCCAGGGTCCCGTCTACGCCTGTCCCGCCAGGGGTCCCACCAGTTCCTGCTCTCGATCCCAGTGCTCCGGCGATCCAGCTGACACTGGAGGGGTCCCATTGCGGCGTACGTCGTCCTCCGGAGCTATCCCGTCGCCGCCTTCTTGCCCGACCTTGTGCCCGGCCTCCTGAGTTCCCCAGCGGCCTTCGCCCTCGAGCCCGGTCCCCTGACTTTTCAAACTCTGCCTTGCCCCCGGGTCGTCCGCCCGAGAACCCCTACCATTACCTGTGAGTTTATTGCTGTCATGCCCATTGGCGCGTTCACACCGGAGTACTTTTCCCACAATAGTTCATCAGAACTACGATATATTTGCGTTCACACCAAAAAGCCCCAGGAACTAAACTAGTTAATCGGAACCATTTTTTCAGTCCCTGCTAGAGAGCAGGGACTTTTGTGGGAGAAAAAAGTTCACACGTCTGATTGGCTGTGCGGAATGCAAACCACGCCCCGTTTAACTCTGAATTTTCTTTTGGAGCGGCCATTGTATTTGCTGGCATTATTAGCCCAGCGCACCAACGAGAGTACTTTTGTGAAAGCAGTTATGGCAACAATAAGAATACGAAAATCATCTGAGCGGTGGAGTGATGAGGATGTGTCGGCACGTCTGGCGATTTACTCGGAGGATGGGATCCAGCAGATTATACTGAAGGCAGTTTCCAACTGCAAAATGTATCAGCGTTGTTCGGTAAAGTTAGCCGACATGGGAATCTTCCACAGCGCACACTCATGCCGGGACAAAATAAAGAAACTAAAGCAGGACTACAAACAAATAAAAGACCATAATAACAAGAGTGGTAACGGCCGGAAGACCCGTAAATGGTATGATCGATTGGATGCTCTGCTCGGCCACAGGCACAGACCCTCATTCTCCGGCACTTAAGGTGAAACGGCGGATTCAGTGGCCTGTGAATTGTCCAACGACGACTACTACGAAGGTAAAATAAACGACATGCACTGCACTGTTTTAATCTGCACAATACTGGTCTCAGATGTACTTTTATTTGCTCAGTAGATCGAGCTAGCCATGCTAGCCAGAACTGGCTAACACTGCTAGCCAGTTCAGCCTAGCATGGCTAATAACATAATTCTCGGCCGCTATGAAAACGTTTTTGACTTGTGAATAAGTGTGTAATGTTTTCTGTAATTTGCTTCACTAACTCATGGCACTAATTGTGTGTTTCAGGCGAGGCAGGACAACTCTCTGGATTGGAAACAAGTGAGCTTTCCCCTCCGGATCACAACAGCAGCACTTTCTCGTCTGCTTTTCAACCATCCAAACGCAAAAGTACGTACAAACACACTGTAACTACTCTGGTCTTGAAAGAACGTTACGCATCGAACTGATGTCCACTAATCACGTTTATTTCCTTCTTGGTACAATTATGAAACACCGTGAAAATACATCGTTTACACTTTAAGCGCCATTTTCACTCTCATAAACATCCGGGCTAGAGGTCACATGACTTCCAGTAAGAAAACTTATCATTTTTGGACAAAGTTCAAGCGTACATTAAGCACTCTAAAAATATATAAAACAATAAATAAGGGCACTTTGAGCGTCAGCTATTTGATGCTATCTTATCTTCTACTTTACACCTGCATTTTGTACACTGTCCCTGTCTGCACCATGTCCAATGTTGTCTCTGTTGACAACCTACTAGGCGATTAAACTGATCTTGTATCTTGCTTATTTCTCCTTAGGAAAGCGGGCACGGGATGACAGCTTCCTTGACACCATCATGGTGATGGAGGACCTCCGTGCCATGGTCAGCAAGGAGAATGAGGACCTGCGTGCCAAGGAGATGCACGACGAATGGCTGCTGCATTCACACAAGGCCCAGGAATTGGACGACCAGCTGCTCATGGTGATGCCGCGCCATGCTGACTCGGCGGCGCGCCAGGTGGAGGTGTCGGCGCGACAGGTGGAGCAACAAAATACCTTTCAGGCTGGGCTTCTGGCAGTGCAAAGCGAGCTGATTAAATCCAGCAGGCCTTCAATAAAAAAATAAAGAAAAACTTGTCGTTGTTGATAAACTGTACAATGACTTGTTGGGAGGCGTGTGGTGCAGTGGTCTGGTGCGTTGGTGTTCGGATCAGGGGAGCACAGGTTCAAACCCCACTGCAGTCAGGATGTCGTTGTGTCCCTGGGCAAGACACTTCACCCAAAATTGCCTACACCTGGGACAGTTCATTTTGTATTATTGTGATTATATATATATATATGCCACTGTTATTAATACTGACACTTCACTTTGCACTAAGGTGTGTCTGCTGCTGAGCCTACCTATTGTTATTATATATATATATATGTTTTGATACTACTGACGCTTTATTTGATATTGAAAATGTTAACTTCTATTTACATGCATACGACACACCTGGGACAGCGTGATGCTGTTATTGATATTGAGTGTGCAATAAAAGAGAACCTACATGGCGATTAAACAGAGCCTGTATCTTACATTTTTTTGACCTGTGTAGCATCCTATACATCACATGTAAGTGATTATTCTGATACCATGTTTCATCGGTTATAAACTGGCGAAGCTTTATTTATTTGTGGCTTTCAAAAAGATAATTTCATTGTATTTCAAAATGGCGTCCAACACAAGCACTATTTATTTATAGAAAGAGAAACGGTTAAGTTTGTTATTACCAGTGTTGTGAGTTCAATATTTTAAATTAATTATAGTAAGGGAACATCTTAGGAGCAGTGGCGTTTTTATATGTACAAAAGTGGTGGGGAACAAAAAACTTAGATGTCTATATATAAGCTTCTGCAGTGACGTGCAGTGAGGTTCATGGCTGGTGAGGCACTGACTCTGACTCTTCAGGTTTACAAATATTATATTTTGACCTAAACCAAAATATAATATTATTTTCAAAAGCTTTTTTTGTCTGATGCTTCGATTAATTTTAAACAGACAGTTCAACAAAAGGATACCCAAAAAATGTAATTGTATCATTTCAATATTGAATTGTTCTCAGTAAGATCCCATTTTCAAAAAATTGCGGTCTTACCTTGACTTGAAGATGAAGTCCATTTGTCTATCCTTCTGGACAAACATTTCTATAACTTTTTTGTAAAAGTCCTCCTTATCTTCTCGTAGTTTCAAAAGTCTATCAAATCTAATCGATAGATTTATGATAAAAAAATTATAAAAGTAGGGTAGACATGTGGATGTTATCCGGCTGAACAAAACGTGCATTTATCTAACAGGTACGTTTCCCACAGATCTTATTTACAGCTATTTTCTAAAATCCTATGGAGAAACCTCATTGCTTTTTTGCAGCTTACTTCCTGGTTTTAGGACGCGTCACTGCAGCTCTCTCGTCTCCTCTTCACACACCACACTTTTCACGGCACACGTACTTACAGCCAATCAGCTCTGAATGATGTGAGATGACGTATGGTGGGGATGGCAGCTCTGTGCCCCTATGGTCTTTTTTTTTTTGCCACACACATTACATTGAAAAATACTCTGAGCATGCGCAGTGTAGTTTTTACAGTCACCGTTCACTTTGACAGTGAGAGGGAGGGGCATGTTCAGGTTTTGTCCCACATGGTTCAAAACGGCACTGTAGACACTAATTAGAAGAACACAGACTAAAACAGCAATGTACAGACGAATCAGATGATTAAACATGACCTTAAAATATATTTTATATATATTTTTATTTCTTTTTTTGCATCTCTTTGCATTTTTTGTAATCATTATGTGTAATACTTTCTGCTGACACTAGGTGGGGCTGTGCCCCTAATGACCAGTCACCACTGCTTAGGAGTTAGTGTAGTGAGTTTCAGAGCAGTGTAATAATTATTTGACCTAAAACTAAATGTTTTTATGAACATGACATGGGGATTTGCTAACTTTTGATTTCCCCCATTTTACACGACACAAATGGAGGCCACTATGGGCCAAAACTAACACGTAGGTTTCTGTAGGGTTCATGGCAGACGGATGCAGTTGCTCTCAGGAGGATATATAATAAAGGTGTGTTAGCTGCTGAGCCTATTTAGTGTGCATACGACACACCTGGCACAGTTTATTCATTTCACACGTAGCGTAGCGCGTGCATGTCGTCGTCCAATCCTTTTGTCAATCCTTCTTAACCGCCTTCGCTTCCGAATCAGCATTGCTATTGCATTTGACTGGTCGACGATCTGTATTTGTGTTTGCTTAAATAACTCAGACGAAGCTAGTAGGGACTTTTTCAAAGACTTAAATACAATCAGAGCTTTTCTGCAACCAGTAGGTTCCCCCCCTGTTAGTCATTGGAAAGAATGCAAGGGCACTTTCCTGTGAGCATGCAGATATTCACATGTTTTTATTAGCTCAAACTAACACTAGCATGGCCGTACACTTTTGGTCTTCTTCAAAGATACACCTTGAAAAAACATTCAAACATTGCTTTATGTCTAGTCTCACATCTCATAGCTTTTGCTGAGACATTGGGGGTCTTTATTCAAAGTGATTCAATCCAATTTGGTGATCAAGGGGGACATTCATTTACAGGTAAGGAGCCTGATATGTAAGCCATCAAATGAAGGTAAAACAAACAAAAGGAAACATCAGGGAGGTATTTGAGGACCAACTCTCTGACACATTTAAACACATCTAGATTCACATTTGACAGTCTTGCAATGAACACGGAAAATATGTCATCAGGGCTTATCTCATCCTTCGACTTGCAGTTTGTATAGTCTGTATAGGAAGAGAGGCATATTCAAAAAGTGAAAATGAGTCAAAAAAAATACAGCACATATTACATTTAGGGCAACATTGTATACAAACTTATTTGAACAAAAAAGGATAGGTAACATCCCCGTGCTCATACTGCCTATTTTTAATTAACCACATATATGTATATGATTATTCAAGTCCTTATCTTATCTTAAACCTGATAGGTTTAAAGTCTCACCATAATCTGAGTTAAAAAGCTGAGGCTTGGACCAGCCGAGACACTCTGCCTGTGTCTCAAACTCCTTCATCTCCTCAGCACTGACGGTCTTTCTCCTGCCTGTAGAGGAGGGAACATATGTCACTTAAAAGCGTTTTTTGTTTTGTGTTTTTCTTTTGGTGACTCCTTCTGGTTATTTCCCATATTGCAGAAAACATTTAATTCTAGTTCCCACGTGTTCATCCTGTGCAATCCTTGGTACAACCATGGCAACTTAAATGTTCTTCTAGCGCCATCAAAAGGTTGAGTTTCCATTTGTGCTTCTCATGGTTTATGACCAAAATATCTGCAAAACTAATGACAAAACCAACAGTCTCAGCAGTTTCATGTGTTAAGTGCTAGTTAGCAAATGTTAGTATGCTAACCATGCTGAGATAGTAATCATTACACTTTACCTGCTTAACATCTGCATGTTCCCATCCTTACCTCAAAAATACAACCTCACAGAGCCACTAGTTTGTCCTTCATTTCATCATCTAACTATCATAACAAATGTCTTCCTGCATTGGGTAATAGTTTCATGTTAACCCTTAGATGCACGAGTGACTGGACCCACACTCTTCCATAAGTGGGTCAAAAAGGACCCGTATTAGAAAAATATGTGTTTTTATGCAATTTTTGTCATTTTGGTTAAGAAAAATCACTTTTATAATATTTAGTATTATATTTTGGTTCACACTAGAAATATTTTATATTAAATGTTTATAATTTTCGGAAAAAAAATTACATTTGGAAAAAAAACGTTTTGAACATATTGATGCAAAGATCCAACCCTCTCTTACCTGCCCTGCAGCTGAACGACCTATACTACCTTTATTTCCTCCCACCTTGACTACTGTAACTCCCTTCTCTACGGCATCCGCTCCCCCTCCCTTGATAGACTCCAAATTGTAAAAAACGTAGCCGCCCGACTCCTCACACACACCAGATCATGGCACCACATCACACCAGTCCTCAAAGACCTTCATTGGCTTCCCTTCTCCCAACGCATCAACTACAAAATACTGGCCCTCACCTATAGCCCTCCACCATCTGACAACCCCCCCCCCCCCCTATCTCACTGGTCTTCCCACCCCCTACCAACCCCCGCGGTCCCTCAGATCCACCTCAGCCGGTCTCCTGTCCCCCCCAAGTCCAAACTAGGCAGCATTGGGGACAGAGTCTTTTCAGTGGCATCTCCCAGGATCTGGAATTCCCTCCCCCGAGATCTCCGCTATTCTGAGACTCTCACAGTATTCCAGTCCCTTTTCAAAACTCATCTCTTCTCCTCTGTCTACTCATAGCCCACCCCCCATCAATCCATGCTGGTTGATCAAGTTTGATAGTCCTATACCCCCCACCCTAACCTTCCCTTATATTGTAAAGCGATTTTGAGTCCTTGAAAAGCCCTATAAAAATATAATGTATTATTATTATTATACTGACAGGTATCAGATCTTGCTGTGTAAAATAATCTTCCTGAGAGGTGTCTCTTGTGATGTAGTCTGTGTGGTCTACAGTGAATGTATTCCTGACAGCCACAGGTGATAAGAATTAAAGGTTCCCATAGGATTCCATAGAAAATGCATGCGGGTCATTTTTAAAAATGTATACAATTTCAATTTAAAATTAAAATGGCATGATATCCAACACATGTTTTTTGAGGAATAGCTGGAATATGAAATGATAAAAAAATGTAATTACAAAGATACTTCAAGAAAACCACCTCACCGGGTCAAAAAAGACCCACTTATGCATCTAAAGGTTAAGCTATATCTTAATGTGTATCACCTCAATTGAAAATATTGTTACATAATTTTTCATTTTAGTTTACATTTTTAAATGTTTTTCTCCTTACTGAAGAGCAATAGGTAGGCGGCATATGGGTGATCCTGCTTCCAAACGACACAGTCAGGACAGCCACTCTGCAGCAGCACCAATGGTTCATCATATGGGCTATTTGTTGGAAACACTTAAAGCATACGGATGGTAATAATTAAATCATTTACATAAAAACTATCACTTTATAATCACATAAACACTACATCTTATCCAGATGTTGAAAATATATATAACATACAGTAATTCATACATACATTGTTTGTGGATGATATTAAAAACACAGTGTAGAACATGTAATATATTAAAAACAAGTCTTTAGTTTCAAAATAGGGATTTTAAGAAGATAATTAAAGAGCATTGGTCCTTAAACAAACATCTTACATTTGCCAGTGGATGTGCTGTTCTCATACACGAGTCCATATCCAGAACGGTTAGAGCATACTCCGTACCTGAAAGGCATGTTTTATAGATTTAACTGAAAGAACATCCACACAAGACATGTTGATGTATGATGCACAAATATTCAGTGGCGTTTTCCAGAGGTGTGGACTCGAGTCACATGACTTGGACTCGAGTCAGACTCGAGTCACCAATTTGATGACTTTGGACTCGACTTGACAAAATCACAAAACACTTGCGACTCGACTTGGACTTGAACACCAATGACTCGGGACTTGACTTGGACTTGAGCCTTCTGACTTGAGGTGACTTGATAATTTAATTCAGGGGTCTCCAACACGCCGATCGCGAGCTGCCGTTCAGAAGAGCAGACTCGCGTCGGGGAGAGCAGAATCTTCAGCCGCTCCAAGACTCGCGTCGGGGAGAGCAGAATCTTCAGCCGCTGCAACTCTTGCTGTGAATCCATGCAGGCAGGGGCGGGACTTTATTTTGCTGAGCCACCATGTGGCCAATCATATGCGAGGACACACTAGGATCATACCATTGAGTATTTTACAAAGAGTGAAACAAACAGCGCCCCTCTAGATGTTATGGTGAAACAGTAGATTGCATTCACTGTTGCGAGAGGAGGCCAGCCGGATCGGGCTTCCCTTGGTGAAAAAAAATTGAGGGATTGACCAATCAGATGAGGCCCATGTGATGCCCCTGCCAACCTGTGATTGGTCAGGGCCATGCCAAGGGAAGCCAGCCGCCTCTGGCTTCCCTTCAGAGGCGGCTGGCGGCTGGCGATTTGATTGGACACTGCCATCCAATCGATCACCTGAATAGATGAGATTGTTTATATTTTTTAGTTACTTTTGGACTACGGACTGAGCTAATTACAGAGACGAGGACTGTTGCTGCACTTGCCGTGTGTTAGAAAGGGAAGGGAAGAGAAGGTGGACTATCGCATGCAAATGTTTCTGTACATAATTGTTTTTGAATTCATGTGTTTCATACACGCCTACTGATACTTTGATGTGAACGTAAAACTTTAAAGGTCTCCTGATTTACTTTGTGAATGAATGCTTCTTTTTTATTCATTACCGAATCTGCACTGCGCATTGAGCGGCTGGTATTGCATTGGGCGGGGGGGGGGGGGGGTGTGTCTGCATAAATTAATAAGAAAATGCTTAAATTAATAAGACGAGAGAGTTTCGGCTGGAGTGTGCGTGCGGACCTCTCGGTTAGATAACAGGCGTGTGCAAGTCCTGCATCTACAAATGTGTGTAAAATGATACCGGGCGCTGTAATCACTCATCTGGTTACGTTATTGACCACCCCCCCCCAACCCAAAAAAATGGGCTTCCCCTACATTTTTTCCCACGCCACGCTACTGCAAATATTAAATAGAAATACAGAGTGATATGCATCAGATTCATGTGGATAATTAACCACAATAACAGTAAATAAGGTTGCTTACATTGCTTTCACCTTGTAGTTGTCAATACATTTGTTCGGTGTCTCTGTAGAGGTAATGTCCACTTCAACACTTGGCCATATAACATACCTCATGAGTAATGACCACAAACATATCTTAGAGGACATGGCTCTGACTCGCCAATTCCCAATTGTCAACTGAAATAAGAAATATGATATATGTCAAATGCATGTTTCCTTTATGTTTCAAAATGCAACTTTAACAGTGAGGATTTTGCTTGCCCAGGGAAAAAGAAATGTAGCACAAATCGGTGCAGTATATTCAACCTAGATCTGTCTAATCAAACTAAGAAAGATACAAAGGGTGTTATAAATGTGAAAAGAGACTTACATCTGGAGCCTTGTCCACTGGCTGCAGCAGCTTCTCACAGGCCAGCGGCGCAGGCTGGCACACTGAGGAGAGACTCAGCACAAGAGCAGCGACACACAGAGTCTTCATCGTGGCTTTGATTCCTCTTCATCGCTCTCAGGTCAGTGTTATAAAGATATCACTGACCAATAAATTATATGCAATATCCACCCACCCTGTCTGAGTGGGTACAAACTGTGCTGATATAACCCACAGAGTAAGCATGACGGGAAATCCTTCATGTTTACTTATTACACAAACTGGAATGCAAATACTGCAGGGTTAATTATTTCAAATTTGTGTCACAACAACACGACTAGCAGCGTGTCCTAAATCCATGATACACAGTGATTTAAGGAAATTTTAAGAGTGTAGGGTATGTACATTGGTTTGAGTATACTTCATTTTGTCACATTTCCAGACAGTTTATATTCTTAAAAAACGCTGCACACTATTCTCCAAAAATGAAAGGCACAAAAAGAAAACGTGGAGCTACTAGAGCTGAAACAAAATAAAACATATATTACATATAAATGATGGTCAATCAGCTAAAAACATTGTGATAAAACATAGTGTGACATTTAAAGAAGAAATGCTCCAAAAGTAGGATCTGGATCTATGAAAATAAATATTTCAAATGTTGGTCTAGTTGTGAAGTCATCTTGTTGAATTAAGAGCTATCAAAGTGTTGTGCTGGAGGAGAAAACCCACATATTATTCTATGACTGTTAACTTATAGTATAAATACTTATTAACTATTTATTTTATTATTTATATACTATTAGAGCATTCAAAAATGGGGCCTTTTAAGAAAAGTACCAAGTCAACATGCTTGAACTATGGTTTTGTATCTTCTGGTTTTGAGAGGTATGTGAGTGCACATCAAATGACCCAGCGTGCACTGGAAACTCAAAGTATCCTGACTAAAGGAAAATGAATTTCTTGCTTAAATGTTTACCAGAATGCAATGCACCACCTGATCGGCATAAACACGACATCATCTACACTTGTCAAGATGCTGTTTGGATGTACTGTATAGCACACTATTCAATGAAGGATGTGGTTGTGTGGCTTCCTCTGTTCTGGCCAGATAGCTTATTATTTGGCACAAATATAAACCACCTCAACTGTGGTTGGATCTTACTTGCAGACTAAATTCACTTTAAATATATTATTAAAAGAACTGCTTACAGGCTAAGCACTTCCTTAAAGTTTTCACAAGAGCACATTCCGGCTTAGACAAACACTCAGTAGACCATCAGCTATCAAACATTAGTCAGAGAGTCAGAGAGGAAGCAGAATGAATGTGGAGGAAATGATCTACACGTTTTTCGAGGTGCTCATTGCTGTTAGCTGCTGTCTTGGTAATATGTTGGTGATTTTGGCACTGTGGACCAGTAAAAGCATTCAGGAGCCCACCTTCAGTCTTATCGTCAGTCTGGCTGTGGCTGACTTTCTGGTCGGCTGCGTTGCCATACCGATGGCTGTGGTGGTGGACGGACGAGTGCCCACTTCATTTCATGGCTGTGTCTTCATCAGCTGTGTGGTCATCCTGTTGACTGGGGTCTCAGTTTTGTCCCTCATGGCTATTTCTGTGGACCGCTTCCTCCGGGTGCATATCCCTCTCTGGTAAGACCTCTTCTGGATTGTTTATTGTGCAGAGAAAAGTAGAAAATAGCATTGCCAGGGTCAGGGATTTAGTATTATCTTATGCAGTTCATACATCATGCAGTTGTGGTACTTTGAGGAGTTTTAGATCATGAAAATGCCTTGTACTTGTATAATGCCAAAAAGGCTTTGGTTAAAGGTGGGGTCGGTAATTTTGGAGAAACCAGCTCGAGTGCGCTAAAATTTGAAAATACACAACCCGAAAAAATCTGCCACTTCCTTACAGAGCCCCTCCTCCAACACACACGAACGCGCACATGACCAATGAGGGCACGAGATAAGTTTGTGCGCAGATGGAAGGCTGACAGGCAGGTAGGCCATCCAGTTATTTTAGCCGGGCCGGCTAAAATGATTGGTCGTGCTTTTTACAGTACTACGGCTTCCACAGATTACATTTTTTTATGGATTTTTTGTCAAAGCACTTAAGATATTCATTGCTATCGGGATGTTAAGAGCTTTCCATGGAATATAACAAAAAGTTTATCTCAAGCCGGTTTCTCAAACTTACCTACCCCACCTTTAACATAGTGAGCAGATGATACATTCCATTTTTGTATGTTAAATTATTCCTTTTGTGTCACTGGTCAGATCACAAAAATAAATGTGTATTTGTTGATTGTACATTTACTGTTTTCTTAGGTACAAAAGGACTGTGACGCAGAGACATTCTTGCCTTGTGGTCGCAGCATGTTGGCTTGTTGCAATACCACTGAGTTTTGCTCCAATGCTTGGATGGTACAACCATGGCACCCTGTCTAAGTCAGTAAACTCTACCATTATCTGCAAGTTTATTGCTGTCATGCCCATGTCATACCTGGTTTACTTCAACTTTGTTCTCTGCACCCTGATACCTCTGTTGGTGATGACCGCTCTTTACGGCTACATCTTCTGCACCATCCGAGGAAACCTTCGACATAAACCAGGCAACGGGGCCCAGAAACAGTGTCAGAAGTATCTGAAGAAAGAGAAACAGCTGGCAGGATCTCTGTCCCTGGTCTTGGCTCTGTTTGCCTTGTCCTGGCTCCCTATCCACATTTTACACTGCATTATTTACGTCCGTGGGAATAACGATATACCAGTTGTATATATCTATGTTGGCATCCTGCTTTCTCATGCTAACTCGGCTGTAAACCCAGTTGTGTATGCGTTCAAAATAGAAAAGATCAAGACAGCGTACCTAAAGCTCTGGAGACAGTATATCTCATGTGGAGAAATAAATCAAGGATCTCAGACAAGCCAGACAACAGACAATACTCCCAGTAGTAACTTGAACAGTGAGGCCAATAATAAGTGAAGGAAGATTTGTTTGCTTCTTTGTTGTAAGCTTATACTCATATTGTTACATCTAAAAGATTAATACATTTTCTTGGATGTATTTCATTTAGCTTTTGCATGTTTTTAGTTCAGAAATCTTTGTTTTTATAGTTTATCAGTGTTTTTTTATTTGATCAAAACATTGTAATATGTTTGCTGGACAAGAAATCTGAAGCAGTTCACTCAATTCCTACGAACTGTCTTTTCCTGCGGCGAATGCTTCTTGGCAAAATAATTAATCTTGATCGACTGGAAACGTCCTGCTTTGCACTAATGTCAGAGGCAACTGTGTGAGACTGGTCTTGTATGTAAACTTAAAATGTCTTTTTTTTCCGTCTTTTTTTTTGTACAATACTGGAATACAGTGACCTTTTTGTATCCTGATTGCAAAATGCTGTTCAAAGTCTTCCCTTTCTCACCAAGCCCAAATATCTCAACATCTACTACATGGATTATACAGAATTTGATGCTCATGTTCATGTTTCTCTCAGGATGATTGAATCACTTTTCATCCAGTGCCATTATATCTAATGTATAAAATAAAACTAATGACATTACAATGAGCCTTAGCTGTACTTTGGGTTTCCAGCTAATCATTTATAAAATGAACAACAGGCAGTATTAAAGAAGGCTTGAAAATAGCAATTAAGACCACATAAACATTAATAAAAGGTTCAATGAGGTTAGAAATAAAGTGAGTTCAGGGACTTTTTCTCAAAGACTTAAATCAACACACTCTCACTCCCTAAGCGTCCAGGAGCGACGCTTGGTCAGGGTCCAGTGGCGTCCAGTTGTGACGCGCCGAGGCTCCTTCAGCTTCATAAACGGACGCAAAGAGCTTTCAACTGATTGCAATGTATTCCCATCGGTGGCGGTATTTGACGCTGAGGGAAGCACGGCATTCGTTTGTGTCGGAGTCTGTTAAAGGCAATGTGAGCGTCCATTCCCATTGGATAACGGAGAATTGTACACCCGGAAGTAAGTATTCCCCTTACTGTCGATTGATTTGACAGTGATATCTCCACTACTCATCAACTCAAAAACACCAGATTATCCTTGTTAATTAAACGACATTGATAGGTTTTAGTGTGTGTACAATGCTTTTGTCACGTTTTCCCCTTCAATTCTGAGAAACAAGTCGTTTTCTATGAGTTTTGGATGGCCGAAGACATTACATTACCCACAATCCTCTGTAGCAACCATAGACTGTATAAATAAATTAAATGATACATTATTCCGAGTGTGCTTGCTTTTCTCTTTGAAAGTCATCACATAACGGCATTGTAATACACGTTTCGGCTGCATTAAATATGACATATCTGCCGTAGTTAACTCTATGTATAGAGCCCTGATGACAAGACTTCTAGACAAACAGGAACTGCCGCCAAAACTGAAAACTTGACGTTGATCTTAAATATATAAGCAATTAAAAAACATCTTACATTTCTTTTCACACAATACGTCTCCTTGCAGTATCAACACTAATTCGGCTGACTTTTATATTTGATCCAATTGGTAGATAGGCTGTATTTACGCCATAACGGTGCACAGCTGATAGAAAGGGACACCTACTGGTTAAAGCACGTTATTGCATTTTATAATTTTATTATTAGATATTAATAGGATCCGTATAAAGTATATTCTTTACTCGTCGTTATTCTCTACTAATAGGTAATTAAAGACTGTATATAATGACTATTTTGCACATCCCATTCAAGATTTCAAGATTTTCTAAGGTTTATTGTAGGGCTGTCAAGTTAACGCGTTAATAAAAAAATTAACGCCACTAATTATTTTAACGCGATTAACGCATGTGTATTTTTTGTCCTCGGCCGCCGTAGTTTCAGAGCGCATCGAGTTTAAAATACCATCTACAAGCTGATGCTGACAGCCCCGCTCCTGCCGCCCGCTTGTGGCAGACCACACTTCCACGCTCACCGGCAGGCCCGGACTGGCCATCGGGAGGACCGGGAGAGTGTGTGTATGTGTGGCGCGAGCGAAGCACACCTTACGTGTTGTTGTTAGCATCTGGTGCTAGCTAGCTGAGCTAACGGATATAAGGAGCTGTTTCAATGAAAACAGAGGAGCGACATTTCGCCGACAACTGCGCCGAGCACTTGACTTTATGCAGGTAGCCAGACAGCACACTTAGCACGGATAGTGCGCGCAACACAGCTCATACACACAGGCATATA